CAAAACTCACCACTGACAGATTGCTTCTTTTCATTCTGTGCTGCCTCAACTATGACCATCTTAGAGAGACTTATTCCTGACATAATTGTGTCCCTCTCTTATTATGTCCAGATATTAATTTCCTTCATAGGAAATCATAATAGCTCAAATTACTTGCTGATGGGTTTACTTGTTCATTTTCTATATCTTCCATCCCAAAATTAGATAAAGAAGAAAGCTTTCTTCTTTGTCTATCTCCAGTACATAGAACAATTATAGCACAAAGTTATTAAACAAATAGCTATTGAATGAACATTTGAGGACCCATGGGAATGAAAGCTTGAAAAAACATTATAGTTAATTTTATTTAAAGTAAGAAACATAGTGTTTGATCAGCTGTCCTGAGATGGAATGTGTTTCTCAGAGTACAATCAAGGACCCTTGCCTGGCCTTTCCCCAGTGTTGTCATTTATACTAATGGGGAGCCAGCCCTAACACCTAAGAACCTGCTGCTTTAGTTTGAATTTGAGCATCCTACTAGCTCTACGATTTGAGATGCATCACTTAAAACCTTAAGCTCTCATTCACTGATTATGTTTATCAAAGTCTATTTTGTGAGAATTAAATACATTAATATATCTCATATCTTTAGTTCACTACTTGGAACATAAACTCTCTTTATCTCTTTCTCTAAAAATAATTGACTTTATCTATAACTTCTATCTTTTAGTGGTACTATTTATTTATCTATAAACTCTATCTATCTGCATTATATATGTATATGTATTCATAAATATATGTGATCTTTTGTTTATAGTGATAATGCTTTTAAAAAAATAATTCAGCTATAAGGATAGTAATCATTATTGAAACTGAATGAGCTTTGGTGGAAATAAAAGATCATTTTGTGAGAAAATGGAAAATTCAAAGCCTAAACTTGAGGAATCAGCAAGACAGGTCTACAGGAAAGAGAAGAGATGAGTTCAAAAACAGAGGGATGATAAAGAAACAAGGATAGCTGTGAGAGGTGAAACATTTGGAAGTATTGAGGTTGAAAGGAAAGAAACTCCAGAAGACTGAACTAAGACCAAGAGGTAATGCATTGGAACCTAAAGACTGCTTTCAGAAGTCTAGAGGGGTTTGTTTGGACTCTATCGACTTTTAGAAGAAACCTATATAGAGATGAGGAAAGTGTCTACTGGAAAGTATAATTGTATGAAAGTAACTTTGCCTTTACTCATTATTTTTCACTTTTCCTCCCCTGGAGGCAGAAAAAAAATGCCAAGGAGAAATGTTGATGTAGCATATACTGGCTCTGTACAAGGAAAGAATGTAGAGTTCACAAATATATTGCTAAGGCTATTCATACATTAGGGCTTCCCGTGGCTCAGATGATAAAAAATCCACCCTCAGTGTAGGAGATCTGGGTTCCATCCTTGGGTTGGGAAGATCTCCTGCAGGACGGCATGGCAACCCACTTCAGTATTCTTGCCTGGAGAATCCCCATGGAGGGAGGAGCCTGGCGGGCTGCAGTCCCTGGGGTCGGACATGACTGAGTGACTAAGCACACAGCACATTCATACATTGGCTGAGCATTTGTGCAGAATTGTTTCTAGACAGCCATTTCAAGTTTGCGTCCTATAAATCCAGAAGTGGGATAAGTGTTTCTGAGGGAAGAAAACAGCTGGAACATGTGGGCTGGAGTGAGTACAGTAATAAAGCTACAAGTGTTTATTTTTATGACCACAAAATATGAAGTTTCTGGTACTAGACATATAGGACAGAAATCATGGTCAAGTCCTAGCATAGCAAGGGGAACAAACTAGCTGTGCTTAGGGACAAGGCAAGGCCCCAGGCTTTGCAGGAAGTTGGTATCACTGGCTTCTAAGTGCGAGCAGAGAAGCCGGCCTGGAGCTCTCTTCTCACTGTGCCCATCTGTTATCTCTCTCCACCTCCACAGCTCCTGGAAATTGTGCTAGTGATTGTCTTGGCAAACCATTTTGACACAGAATTAACCCCCTTGTGCAGGCTGCCTGGAAGACGATGGTGACTGGACTGGTGAACACACTTGCCCACAAGGAGAGGGCCTCACCTCTCTGAGGGCCCTGCCCAGTAGTAGAGCGTCACCAAAGAACAGCTTTATTGTTCTAATAATAATAGTAGCAACAACAATAGTAGCAGTAGCAGTAATGCTCTGCTAAGAGTTCTGTAATTGTCCTCAGGTCTGCTTTTCTCATGTACTTTTAAATATGTGAAAACCTTAGGGATTCTATGTTGAACCGTATTTTGGGGGACAGGGGTGCTCACCATTCAATTGTTTCATAACGTAGAGATTTCTGCAGAAAAATTAAAAACAGAACACCAAAGGGATATGGTTGGGACATACACTTGGGAGAAACATACACTCATGAGTTACTCCAGTTAAAGATATGGGAGCAATCTGGTGGGAGGGGAAGGGTGTCAAGGGACAAGAACTCCTTAGGACCAGGTAATTAAGTGGGTCTGAAAATAGACTTCAGTGAAGGCAATGGTTCTGTATGTAGGTAGAGTACCAAAGTAGAGATAATTTACAGGAAAAGTAGCCCAGGTGTTAAGATGGCAACATCCAGGCAAGGATGTCATTCCATTCTAAGAACACATTTTCTAAAAGCAACTGATTTGTCACAGCCCTTGTAAGGAGAGACTCAGGATGGGTGGGGTGGAGGCCAGAGCAGGGGATACCTCTTTTCAAAGTCAACTCCAAAGAACTGGGCCCTGGGCTTTACTAAGGAACTGTCTGGTTAAAGTGAAGAAAGTTGCCTAGGGAGGTTAATTTTCTTTTCAAGACTGGGTTTTTTTTTCTTTGTTTTTTAAAAATTATTTGTATTTATTTATTTATTTGAGTCTGCCAGGTCTTAGTTGCAGCAGGCAAGATCTTTGATTTTATTTGCAGCATGCAGGATCTTTAGTTGTGGTATGTAGGATTTGCTTCAAGAAAATCTAGTTCCCTGATCAGACATGGAACCTGGAGACCTGCTCTGGGAGTTGGGAGTCTTAGCCACTGGACCAACAGGGAGGGAATGTTATATTGATTGTTGCCATGAGGAGACACATGTGTGCAGATTGGCTACAGCATTTCAAGAAAGACAGACCATTGTAAACTGCTCAGAGTGAGGGACTGTCTAAAAAGGGTGAAAGAAAAACAGGAGTTAGAGGTAGCTTCCAGAATCACTGCCTGCTTTGCTGAAAAGATGGGCAGTTATTCCCCAACATTCAGAAGCCCCTGAGTCTGGACCTTGCAGGGGGCACATACTCTGCTGAAGATGGGCATCAGGGCTAGAGATAGACAGTACCGAGAGCCACCCCTGCAGGCCAGACCCCAGCTGAGTGTGAGTGAGATTCCTGGCTGTGGTCACAGTTTCCTCTTCTTTCTTTTATTTCTCTGACCTCTTTTCTTGAAGTAAATCCTTTTGACATTAATCCAACTATTTTCTTTATATCTCTGTACCAAAGTGCTCACATAAATCAATGCTCACAGATCCAGTCTGTCATGGTAAACAAGCTTCCAGAAACAGCAAGTCTTATCCACATTTTACAGTTAGGTCTTTTCCAGGCTGAATAGATAAAAGTGTCTCACTATATCAAATAGAAAGGATTTATTTTCTAATAGTAGAAATTCAGCTATTGATGTAATACCGTGGGTTGAACTCTAAATTTTAGAGTACCTATGTAAATACACAAGAAATGAAAATTGATTTTTTATTTTATGTACATATATTTGTAAGAGTGATCTCAGGGAGAAACAAATCAGCTTTTTAGAGGTCAAAATGTGGGAAAAACAAATTCTGAAATAAAATGAATAATTCTGTCTCACACTAGTCTTGTAAATGCTTATGTGGATGCATGAGAACAAAGTACCTTAGGTCACAGTGGCAGTGGTGTGTGGAGTACTGTCAGTGAAGGTTGCCTTTGAATGATTATATATAAAGAAAAGTCACACTCGGCCAGGAACGTGGACCCAGCATATGAGACAACTCAGTTCATCCGGAGCCATTGCCAAGGAGACTTCTTATACTCTCTTCATTAAACACAGAAGCACCTATTCCCCAGCATTCAATAGTGTATTCCCTGATAGGAATGCAAAGATACATGTCCTGGCCAGAGACACTTTCCATATAATCAGAGTGAAAAGAATTATGCAGACAAGTGCATATATTACTGATAGAACTCAACAACAAAGAGGTGATGTTCAGTTCTTCTCTAAATTACCCAGTTCTTACCTATCTTGTTTCTAAATTGATGCTGGATTGGGATCATTTTTACTTGGTTATGCGAACTACAAAATATGAGCCCCATATAAACTTTAGAAGTATTGATAACCCAAGAAGAGCTGTGGCTTCTTCTATTAATATACCCTGGCTGAACAGCAGAACAGTGTCTTGTAAACACCTGACACGGTGCTCACCAGAGTTCTAAAAGTTGCTTTTCCTAATTCTAGCTATGCTTCATGGTCAGCCTACTGGTCACTTCAGGAACAGTGGTGGGGACTTAGAGATATGAATTGTGCAGTAGAGGGTAGTGGGGAACGACAGCAGAATAGCCCTGATAGAGCCACCAACACTATCAGAGACACAAATGTCCATCTTGCTGATCCTCCCTTGCCCAAGTCCCACCCCTGGCGGTGGCCACCCACCTTTGACCAATAGTCTCATTTTATTGGGAGAAGGAAGGGCCTGGGGACAGGAGATGAGGAATAAAAGGCCATGCAGTGAAGCAGGGGCACGGACTTGCTTCTGGCCCATCAGGCTCACCAGTAAGCTCCCAGACACCATGGTGCATTTTACTACCGAGGAGAAGGCTGCTGTTGCTAGCCTGTGGGCCAAGGTGAATGTGGAGGCGGTCGGCGGTGAGAGCCTGGCAAGGTAAGCACTGGACACAGGTTGGACAGGATGTAGAAAGGCAGAAAGTGTTCCAGAAAAGCTGGTTGGCTTTCTTACATACTGTGACTTCTCATCTGTTCTGTGACTATGATCATCCCATAGGCTCCTGATTGTCTACCCATGGACCCAGAGGTTCTTTGACAGTTTTGGTAACTTATACTCTGAGTCTGCCATAATGGGCAACCCCAAGGTCAAGGCCCATGGCAGGAAGGTGCTGAACTCCTTTGGAGATGCCATTAAGCACATGGATGACCTCAAGGGCACCTTTGCAGATCTAAGCGAGCTGCACTGTGACAAGTTGCACGTGGATCCCGAGAACTTCTGGGTGAGTTCTGGGCATGTCTGTGCTTTGTTCTTTCATCCAGGTGTCTGTGCTGCCCTTATAATAGCAAACACTGACTTAAGTCTTAAGCTATCGAAGTATTGTTTGGACGTAATATTTCAGAGAAAGGCTTGATTTTGATAGATTGTTCCAGAGGTCAAAGGTAAGACCAAGTAATTACTCTGTGAACAGTGGAAGCCACTGGCCATCTGATAATTCTGAAAAAAAAAAAAAATGTTGTGAAGAACACTAACCAAACTTGAGCTGTATGTTTTGGCCTGGCGAACACAAATTGAGCCAATGAAAAGAATATCTTGACTTTGATAACTGAAATTTTCTATGAAAGTTGATGAATATATTTCTGCATGGTTTTTGAGTTTTGAGTCAGGACTAAACAGAGCAAAATAAGAGCAACTTTTCAGAGTTTGGGCCTCCTCCTCTCATCTCCAGCAATGAAGAAATGTTCTTCTATACAAGGTGCTGGATTATTTGTCAAGCAGGTGCCCAAACAATCTGAATGTATGTAATATCTGAAGACAAAATAAGCATATCAAGTCCCCTTTGAGCACTATACTCTTACTTTTAAAATAAAGGAGAGAAGTAATACATAGCAATACTCTGGGGTTGGAAGTTGACAGAGAAAATGGGAGAAGGATGTAAAACAATGGGGGTTCAGGCTGGGAGTCACTGAAGCTAATGTCAAGTCTATAATGATGCACTTTTGTGGGAACATGGCTGTGAAAGTTGTTCAACCTCTTATGAAGAAGGAAATGGATGTTGTATCTATTTGCTGCAAGGGCAGCTTGAGACCTTCTCTTCATTATGTACTATCTTCTTTTTATTCCCAGCTCCTAGGCAACATGATATTGATTGTCTTGGCAACCCACTTCAGCAAGGAATTTACCCCACAGATTCAGGCTGCCTGGCAGAAGCTGACAAATGCTGTGGCTAATGCTCTGGCCCACAAGTACCACTAGTTGCCTGGCCAACCATGTTGGTGCCTATCTGAGGGCTCAGTGCCCCAGTACTCATTCCCTGAAGACAGAGGGAAAGAACCCTGATTCCAGACATAACTCCAATATAATACAAATGAAATAAAAGTCATGGTTTGTAATGAATGTCCTTGCATTTTCCATTTGTTTTTATTTTTTATAAATTGATTCAGCTAAAAGAAAGCATTCTTATTGGAACTGGGAATATTGGAGATTGAGAGTTTGTGGAGGTTATAGAAGGGACACTAATAAGATTCTATAAGTGTGGCTTCAATGGGTAGTTAAGCCTAAGAGGGGAAAGTAGACTCCAGAGGTGGATAAAGTCTTTAGAAAAAGGAAAGAAATGGGGTTACTTTTGAGAGACGCAAAATGATTGCTAATAGTTAGTTGTTAGGACACAAAGTAGGGTTACCTGAATAGTTTGTAATTTGTATAAATTCAGGATAAGAGCTCTTTGGGGGCCTCTTTTATTTAATATAAGAATCATGTTTAGTAGTTATTAAGTGCAATGAAAATGGTACTTTTTAGACATCCAGTCAAGGGATCTACTCTCAACTTTTTCCTTGCATCTCTAATGGTACAAATGCTATGTTACTCGGGAGCTCTGTGTCCTGGAACACATTTTTAATTCTACTAAGGCTTTGGTAGAGATAAAGTCTATTTATGAGGAAAAATGACAAATTCAAGATTCATCCTGTCAGATCTAATTGTCAGAAGAGAAATTGGCCCTTTAAAAACAGTAGGGTAGTATAAAATTAGAGACTTTACTAGGGAGACCAGAAACATCAGGAAAAGAAGCTATTGTTGCATGTAAAAAGGACCAGTGAAGTTTCTTGCACAGAACAGTGACATAATGAATAGGATATTGTAGCGAAATTGATCCACGTGTGTGTATAGACCTGACAAGGCAGAATTTACCCTGAATCTGGGCTTAGGAATTGGCTGTGATTATAATAAAGCGATTGGTAAAGGACTCAACTTGACAGGAACAATGGAACTATGGAAAAAAATACATATATAAGACCTTTGTGGCAAAGATGCCTGAAGACTTGAAACAGTGAAATGAGAGTGGAGAAGTCATGGTTGACAGCCAGGTGCCCTGTCTGATGAATGAGAAGAGGAAATCCTTGACAGAGGAAGAAAAAACCTAGATGTCTCTTGCTTGGAGCTGGTAATGGGCATAGCCACCTTTGTAAAAATCTTTTCAAATTTATGTATTGAAACCACTGACATAAAGTGAAAAGACAAAACTTCAGAATTAGCAGACGAGGTCAAAGTATTGCTCCAATACCTTGAAACATTTAGTTAATAATTTTTAGAATTAATGTCCTTGTTTAGAAGTGAGATAATGATCTCTCCCTCACAAACGATCTCTTCCTCCCCTACCTCTAAGGCTCCAAGGAGATGTTTGTAAAGTTTGTTGCCTGTCATTTTGCAAAGGTAGTGGTAGTGGTTTATATGATGTACTATGATCTAGTTCTCTGTGCCCTGTTTCATTGTATATTCTTGAATTGATTACATTGTTTCTGAGCTTCATATCTAGATATCTAACTATTTAATATCCCATTCTGGATTGCTCAAATGTGAATCAAATATAGTATGTCCAAAACTGAACTCCTGATCATTTCCTAATTTATTTATGCTAACTGAGTCTGCTTTTTGTGTTCCCCATCTTAATGACTATGATGCTGAAGCCTGAAAATAGAGATGGTATTTCTTCTGTCCACAGAATTCTCCAGACAGGAATAGTGGAGTGGCTTGCTATTCCTTTCCCCAGGAGATCTTCTTGACCCAGGGGCTGAGCCCTGATCTCTCACATCGCAGGCAGATTCCTTGATATTTGAGCCATGGGGGACTCCCGGTAACATCTTAATGACCGTGACATCATCAGTTGCTCAAGCCTGAAGAAAGAGATGATAACTTCACTTTCCTACTACAATATCATTCTATATGTCTCTTGCTTATTTTATTCCTATATCCATTTATACCCTGAAGCCACAATAATTTTTAAAGAATACAAATCAATTATGTCACTTCATTCCTTGAATTTTTCAATAGTTTTACTTGACTTTCAGGTTAAAGGAAAAAATCTGTAATATAGTGTAAAAGTCATTCATGGCATCTTCCTATCAAAACATTCCCCCTTGTTATCTGAATCATGGTCACACTGTCCATCTTTCTATATTTAAATCACATAATTTGAATTATTGTCCCTGGTAATTTTTAATCAGCAGTAGTTTATGCAATTAATCTGGAATACAGCATGTGATACAGATTCTTTTTATTGTTGTGTAATCATTTATTCTTTTACTGTACTATAATTTATCTGTTCCACTAAATTAGGATCATTAAAGTTGTTACTGAATTGAGATTCTGATGCATATTGATGCTATAAGCGTTCCTATACATGTCTTTGGATGCACATAAACATGCTTCTCAATTGCCAGGTCATAGGTGTTACACATCTTCTGCTTCAGTAAATGAAAGTCAAAGTCAAAGTCACTCAGTTGTGCCCAACTCTGCAACCCTATGGACTATACAGTGCATGGAATTCTCCAGGCCAGAATACTGAAGTAGGTAGCCTTTCCCTTCTCCAGGAGATCTTCCCAACCCAGGGATCAAACCCAGGTTTCCTGTATTGCAAGCAGATTTTTTTTTTTTTTTTTTTTTACCAGTTGAGCCACAAGGTAAGCCCAAGAATACTGCAGAAGGAAGTCTCTCCCTTCTCCAGGAGATCTCCCCAACTCAGGAATCCAACTGGGGTCTCCTGCATTACAGATGGATTCTTTATCAGCTGAGATACCAGGGAAGACCCTCTGCTTCTCTAGACACCACTAAATACTTCCAAAATCAGTTATACTGTTTTATATTATCACTAGTAAAGTAGGAACATTTTTCCTTATCTACAGCCTTGCAAAATTTTGGAATTGTCAAGCTCTCCTCTTCTTTATATTCTTTTCCCTCTTCTTTCCCTTAATTCCATTATTTTCCCTTCTTTTAGACTCTTCTTCCATCCAACCTTCCTTCCTTCCTCCCTCTCTCCCTTTCTTCTTCTTTTCTTCCTTCCTTCCTTCTTTCCAGCTTTGCTGGTAGTACATATTTGTATATCATTATAGTAGTATTTGAATTGAGAAGAATGAAATTTGCTTTGGATTGTCATTCCTGGGTCCAATTCCACTTTTTTCCTGAAGAAGCAGATGTAGAAATTTCTGCATTTGGTGCTTTTCCAGAAATCCTGTCAAACTTTATCAGGCTGAATAAGATAAATCTTGCTTGCAATTCCTCTGCATTTTCTCTACAGTCATATCATAAATATCAGATTTTTTTCCTTTATTTGTCATTAAATTGTTCCCATTTTCATCCATGCTCCAAAAACCTATTTCAGTAGCTGCTAGAAAGACCTTATTTATTATTTTTAATTAACTTAATGTACATCTATTTCAATGAAGGGATGGGGGAAACAGAATTTTGTGACCCAAAGTATTTATACAAGGAGAAAGCAAGCAATTTAAATCTATGACAAAATATTTATCAATTTCAACCTCTTACAAATATTTCTAGAAACAAAATGAAGCTCCATATAAAATCAGCTTGATACAATTTTTGCTTTCTAGGTCTTAGTTTTCTTACCTATGAGTTTAACTTTTTAAATTCATAGGTAAACTGTAATTCATAGGTTTAAACTGTAAGATAAATTACACAATATCAGACTAAAATATTTATGCATGAATGAGATTGGACATGTATTTGTAGAAGCAATGGACGAAAGAAATGAAGCGAAGAAACAAGAATAGGGAGAGTAGAATTTCTGAGTCTAGTCACACTGGATCAGCCAATCACAGATGAAGGGAACTGAGAAACAAGAGTGCATCTTAACATTCCCCCAAACCAATGAACTTGTGTTGTGCCCTGAGCCAATCTGCTCTCAGAAGCAGACAGATCAGGAGGCTGGGTGGGGCTCACAAGGAAGACCAGGGGTCCTGCGGCTTACACCTGCTTTTAACAAAACTTGCAGCTACACAAACAGATATCATGGTGCATCTAACTCTTGAGGAGAAAGCTACTGTCATTGCCTTGTGGGGCAAGATAAGGTTGGATGAAGTTGGTGCTGAAACGCTAGGCAGGCAGGTATTCAGCTTACAAGGCAGGCTTAAGGAGAGTGAATGTCAGCTGGGCGAGTGGGGACAGAGCCGTCGCCTGAGATTCTGGCAGGAATTGACTCCCTCTGACCTTGTGCTGTTTTCACCCGTTAGGCTGCGGTTGTCTACCCCTGGAATAAGAGGTTCTTTGAGCACTTTGGGGACTTGTCCTCTGCTGATGCTGTTATGAGACACCCTAGGGTGAAGGCCCATGGCAAGAAGGTGCCAGATGCCTTCAGTGAAGGCCTGAAGCATCTCGACTACATCAAGGATTTCTTTGATGCACTGAGTAAGCTGCACTGTGAGAGGCTGCATGTGAATCCTGAGAATTTCAAGGTGAGTCTATGGGACCCTTAAAAGTTTTCCTTTTCTTGGTGGTCAAGCTCCTATCATGGGAGAGGGCTAAGCAGCAGGACACAGTTCAGAATGGAGAAGAGGTATTCTGAGTACATCACCATGAACTCCTCAGGACCAGTTAGTTTCTTTTACCTTCTTTGTTCTCAGCCATCATTTACTCTTATTCATTCTCGTTTTTCTCTGTTTGTTCTCTGCAGTATCTTCTTTATATTTAAACCTTTTGAGTATTTAAGTGTTAAGATTTTCTTTCTAAGTCACTTAAAAATTTTGTCTCATGTTTTTCCCTTATCTTTTCCTTTCAAAACAATGAAGACAAAATGATGTATTGCTTCTTGATATAGTTCAAAAGAATAAAAAATGATAAGTTCTGAATTAAGGCAGAAAGAGAGAAACATTTCTAAGTACAAATTCAGGCTGATATGGGTGGCTTCACATCAGTAGTAACAACTACACTTTAGACATCTTTCTGCTTATATTCTAGGAGCACAGCTTGGGATGAGACTGAAATACTCTAAGTACAAATTGGGTGCCTCTGCTAACAGTGTTCTTGTTTTTTATCTCTACCACACAGCTCCTGGGCAACATACTGGTGATTACACTGGCTCGATACTTTGGCAAAGAATTCACCCCAAAGTTGCAGGCTGCCTGTCAGAAGGTGGTGGCTGTTGTGGCTAATGCCCTCGCCCACAAATACCATTGAGATCCTGTCCAATTTCTTTTTTAAAAAATAATATTAATTTCTAATTGATGGTTGGTTTACAATACTGGTTTGATTGCTACCATACATTAAAATGAATCAATCATAGGTGTATATATGTCCCCTCCCACCTGAATCTCCCTCCCACCTCTGGCCATTCCCACCCCTCTAGGTTATTACAGAGCTCCCATTTTAATTCCTTGAGTTGATGCCCATTGTGATAGCTTATGTTGAATGTTGTCAGATTTGTGGCTTCCAGAGGAGACAGTTTTGATCCAGGGCCAGAGACAAGGCTTGATCACTCAGAGCTTTTGTGTGGCAGAAGTTTTATTACAATGCAAAAGGGACAGAGAAAGCTTCTGATATAGACATCAGAAAACCCACTTCCACAACATACATTTTAAAATACCAGGATTAGTCAGAAGGTTCTTAAGAAGGAGGTGGCATTACCAACTCGATGGACATGAGTTTGAGTAAACTCCAGGAGTTGGTGATGGACAGGGAAGCCTGGTGTGCTGAGTCCATGGGGTGGCAGATAGTCAGACACAACTGAGCGACTGAACTGAAGAAGGAGAACCATGTCCTCAAGCAACATGCTTTGTTGCTATATAACCATTAGTACAAAGTTTAAGGAAAAACATACCCCTGAGCAAGATGAATTATTTTGTTGTGCAATCATTAGCTCTGGGTTTAAAGAAAGCTGATCTCAAATATTGTTGTCATAACAACTCAGAGTTTAAGAAAAAATGTCTCATGTGACTAAGACAAAGTAATGTAGAAAAAAGTAATCTGCCCTTTTCTCCTGGAGAGTTCCAGATTCCTTATCAATCTACCTAAGAATTAACTGTCTCAACTGGAAGACCCTATTTCTCTATAGTCTTATATTTGTTAACAATTTAAATTTTTTAAAGTCATTTTTGAGTTACAATATTGTTTCTGTTGTTTTTTAATGTTATGGTTTTTAGGCCACAAGGCATGGGGCTCCCTGAACAGAAATCAAACTCCCATCCCCTGCATTACACTAAGCCTTAAACACTAGACTGTGAGGGAAGTCCCAGTATTTCCCCAGATTTTATCTTCTGAACTTGACGAAATAATGTCCACCCTCAACAATATGACTTCTTCCTAATAAAAAACTTTCAACTCAATGTCCTGATTCATTTTACTCATTTTTGTTGTTTGGTTTGTTTGTTTTTTCCTCTAAGGATATGGGAAAACCCCTGAGAATCTACAGATAGGGAGTCTTTGTGTCTTATACAGAGAGAACAAGGGAAATGAGAAAACGAAGGAGCCCACACACAGTCAGTAATGGACGACATTTCTGCCTCAAAGCGTAAGAACTATAAGAAGTTTTAAAATATAGAGGATACTAGCATTACAGGGGCTCGTGGGAAACTTCAAATCTAGACGAAAACTTCAGGCTAACACTCTGATCCATATCCACTAATTACTCAAGAAATAATGTGTTCAATCAGAGACATAATGATTGCTCAATAAACTGTTATTAACATTTCCTTTTTTCATACTTCTCTTGCCTGCATGTTGTAGGCAACAATGCTATGTTATATTAGATGTTCCCATTCCAATACACATCCTCCCTCTCCCACTTGCCCCAAAACACTTCCAAAATTAACCCCAACCTCCCATTTCAGGCAAAGCTCAGTGCTCACATAACACTTGCTTGAATCTTTTGACCCTGCCATCAGTGAAATTTCCATTATTGCCTAAGGAAATCCTTCCAAACCCTTCCACTCCACATTTTTCACATTTCTTCCTGTCTAGCAAACATCATGACAAACACTGGGCTGGAGGAAGCACAAGCTGGAATCAAGATTGCCAGGAGAAATATCAAAAGCCTCAGATATGCAGATAACACCACCCTTATGGCAGAAAGTGAAGAAGAACAAAAAGGCCTCTTGAAGAAAGTGAAAGAGAAGAGTGAAAAATTTGGCTTAAAGCTTAACATTCAGAAAACTAAGATCATGGCATCCGGTCCCATCACTTCATGGCAAATAGATGGGGAAACAGTGGAAACAGTGTCAGATTTTATTTTGGGGGGCTCCAAAATCACTGCAGATGGTGATTGCAGCCATGAAATTAAAAGACGTTTACTCCTTGGAAGGAAAGTTATGACCAACCTAGATAGCATATTAAAAAGCAGAGACATCACTTTGTCAACAAAGGTCTGTCTAGTCAAGGTTATGGTTTTTCCAGTGGTCATGTATGGATGTGAGAGTTGAACTATAAAGAAAGCTGAGCACTGAAGAATTGATGCTTTTGAACTGTGGTGTTGGAGAAGACTCTTGAGAGTCCCTTGGACTGCAAGGAGATTCAACCAGTCCATCCTAAAGGAAATCAGTCCAGGGTGCTCATTGGAAGGACTGATGTTGAAGCTGAAGCTCCAACACTTTGACTACCTGATGCGAAGAGCTGACTCATTTGAAAAGACCCTGATGCTGAGAAAGATAGAGGGCAGGAGTAGAAGGGGAAGACAGAGGATGAGATGGTTGGATGGCATCACAGACTCAATGGACATGGGTTTGGCTGGACTCCGGGAGTTGGTGATGGACAGGGAGGCCTGGCGTGCTGTGGTTCATGGGATCGCAAAGAGTTGGACACAACTGAACGACTGAACTGATACTGAACTGAGCATACTCACTCTTTGTGTTGTGTAAGGGTTTGTGCCTTTTGTACTGTCCTACAGGATTGCCATGTATTATACAATAGATCCTCCATAGACAGTAAATGTATGTTTATTAAGTGAAATAATCAATGAATGTGTCAAAACACCTGGCAGTAGAGGACAATCTGGAAAGTGCACAATTGCATAATGTTTCCTTGGTGTTAGTGCTACAATATACAATAAGGAAGCACACAAGAAAGTAAATCATTGATTAGATGTTTGCTTTTTGATTATAGGTAGTACAATATCTTTGGAAACTTTTTAAGTTTTCATTTTATGCAGAGTATATCCAATTAAAAGTGTTGTGATAGTTCAGGTGCACAGCAAAGTAATGAACCATATATGTACATGTTTCCATTCTTCCCAAACTCCCTCCCATCCAGGCTGGCACATATCATTGATCAGACTTTCCTGTGCTATACAGTAAGACCTTGTTGGTTATCCATTTTAAATACACTAGTGTGTACATGTCCATCCCAAACTCCCTATCCTTTGTGAAATTATTTTTGTCATATGTCAAATTGACTTCTGGAACCTACTAACTTGCATGCATTTCTTTAAATCTATATCATACTCCAGTTGACTAACTTTAAACTTGACTGCCTGAAACAGAACATATTGCTTCCTTCTATAAAAAGTATTTTTAGAATAATTTTATCTTACTATCAGGTTATAGACAGTTTACTTTTTCACCACTATATTTTGAATTGTCTGAAGGTAAATAAGTTTTTAAATACTTATTGGTTTCTTTTCATGTTTTTATACATAGTAGGCACAGAGAATCATTTACACCCCAACACTATATTTAATAACCACAGGGTCACATCCCAGAAGCAAAGACATCTCAGGAAAATTTTAGGAAGTTTCCTTTCACACTCCTGAGCACAGAACAGTCATCATAATAATTAAACATTAGGAGACAAAGAGATTTTCAAATGATTTGAAAGAAGGTAAGAGAAACTGTGAGTTTCATAATCTGGACTTAGATAAAGTTTAAACGGTATTGTTGGTGTTGGTGTCTCCATGTTGGGACTGAGGAGGAGGTCAAGGGATGGAAAGAGACTTGGCAACTTGTTATATGTTTTTACTCCTTGTTAAAGCAGAACTTCAGTAAAAAGTCTAAGAGTAAAATTAATTCCTTAATATTTGATTTTATTTGATAATTTACCCAATAATTACTTCTAGTCCCTCCTTATCATGTTGCTTTATAAATCATGTTCAGTATGTGTTAATGAAGATGGGGTATGTGTGGAAGAAAGAAAGATGGAAGAGACCAGAGGCAAGGAGAGAAGGACAGTGACAGAGGGAGATACAGAGAGTCAGAGAGAAAGGGAGTGAAGAAGGGTGGTGGTGGGGAAGAAAGGAGAGGAGAAAGAAATGGAGTGAAGAAGCGGGTGGGGGTGAGAGGAGAAGAGAGAGAGCGAGAAGTAAGTAATGCTGTGCATTGATTTCCATAATCATTTTAAAATCAGTCAATTGAATGTCATGAGAATTTAGGATGCTATTCTAGATTTTCCATCTCTTAAACCTCAGAGAAATGCCCTGAAAGTTGGCTTTGAAAATTAATGCCTTGTGTATTTGTCAAGGGTGCCACGATTCTGCCTTTCCAGGCATACAGCTTCAAATTTTACTTGAGAAAGACTGCCCCTTTGTTTTTGATAAGTCAATATCATAGCCCACTTTGGAGGTAAATAAAAGCTAATTCTGAATGAATTAAAACCTGAGCCCAGTAGGGGAAATATTGATATGGAATTGATAAAGAGATACTAACTGCTCTGTAATAATTAGGATATATTTTATCAAAATTATGGCTATATTGATTTTACTGTTTTTAGAGAGAAATTTGACCTTTTTAAACATGAGTTAAACTATACCATTCCTAAACTATTCTGTTTATGACATCTGTTTCTATGAGTTCTGTTCTTCAGGAATCATTTACTTTTTTTGTTGTTGTTTTCTTTTCTTTTACTTTATTTTTGAAACAGTGCTAAAACTGAGGTAACTAAGATATTGTACATCTGGGGGAAAAGAGTAAATAATAACCACTTTATCTTGTAATAAATGTTAATGGAAAATAACTGAAGAAAATAGCTACTATACCCAGAAAAATATAGATTATATTACTGAAATATTCTACTTGGATAATTAAAAATTGATCAGCAGAGCATGCACAAAAGGATTCTAGCTGAGTGAAATTTCTGAACCAAATGATGAAACCACACATCTCTGAATGAAATGTCATGATTCTCCTGAAGAAAGTCAGTATTCATCCTCCTAATTATACTCAGAATAGGCCCATCCTGGTATAGAATGTTAGGAATTAGGTCACCTTGCCAAACTGGAATAAAGGAAAAGAAGGAAAAAAAAAAATGTCTGTCTGTCTGTCTGTCTGTGGACTTGTGTGAGTGTGTGCATGTGTGTGCATGCTCAACAGGGCTTTAATCAAAGTAGAGCAGACATGCTGTGGATCCCTTCACAGAGTCCAAGAAAGCTCATGATGGTGAAGGTGGTGGTGGGCCTAAGAAATATTCCATAACTTTTTAGTGGTGACCTGGATTTGCACTTTTCGCTCTGAACATAACCCCATTTGTATAACTATTCACTCTTCCTTATTTTTGCCTGAACTTTTGATGTCTTATAACAACTTTCAGACTTGTCCCTGCAGTTAGAAGGAAAAACCCATTTCACTCTTTAATCATACCAAGTAGCAAGCGTGAAAGACAACAACTCTTGCTCTGAGACTTGGATGATGGTGGCTGCAGCAGTCAGTACAAAAGAGGGGCTCATAGAGCATTTATGGCAAAGGAAGACGTAAAAAACAAGACACAGTAGAAGAATTTGTATATATATACATACACACACATATGAATACTGGAATATTATATATTACTCAGGTATAAAAAAGAATGAAGTTTTGCCAGTTGCAACAACTTGGATAAGCCTGTAGGATATTATGATTGGTGAAATGTCAGACAAAGAAAGACAATATCCTGTATGTTGAAACTTTTATGTGGAACACAAAAAGCAAAATAAACAAATTAATAGAACAAAGCAGAAACAAACTCACAGGTATAGAAAATAAACTAGTATTTATCCATGGGGAGAGGGTCAGGAAAGGGGTAGGGGACTAAGAAATACAAACCACTGTGTATAAAGTAGATTAGCAACAAGTATATACTGTGTAGAACAGAAAACATAGTCAATAGTTTATTGCAACTTTAAATGGTGCATAGTCCTTAAAAATACTGAATCACTATACTGTATACCTGAAACTAATATAATATTATAGATCGAATATTTAAAAATAATTAATTCAAATCAAATGAATTAGGGAATCATCTCTGAAAACAGAAATTGACAGGGGAAGTCTTTAAGTACATGCAAATTCCTATCAGTCCAGACAGCAAAACTGTAGCCCTGACAGGTTGGCTCCTTTACAAGAAAACTTGGCTCCTTGACTTCCCTGGTGGCTCAGACAGTAAAGCGTCTGCCAACAATGCGGGAGACCCGGGTTCGATCCCTGGGTTGGGAAGATTCCCTGGAGAAGGAAATGGCAACCCACTCCTGTACTCTTGCCTGGAAAATCCCATGAACGGAGAATTCTGGTAGGTTACAGTCCATGGGGTCGCAAAGAGTCGGACACGATTGAGCGACTTCACTTTCTTTCTTTCTATACAAGGAAATATAGGAATAGACTATACTATTATTTAGTAAGTTCTGTGAGTCTTCCATAACACAAACTTCCTGAAAAGACATGTCCAAAGTTTCCCAGAAGTCCTTTCACTCACATATGCCTGACCTCTGATATCAGGGGTGTGAATTAGGGTCTTTAAAATAGTACCAATATAAAACAATGATAAAGCTAATGGAGATTTCAGTTTAATCAATTGAAACACAAAACCTAAAGGTCAAACCAACTGTAGATTTTTGTTTGCTTTTTGTTTTTAACATTTAAAACTTTGAAAGATCTCTTTTCCCAGAAGTCAACATATGAAAATATTTTTCTAAGTATAGACCAATAGTTAAAGCCTCTTTCTTTGAGGGTTACAGAAAAGAGTGAATATAAATTAAAAATGTTTAAATTCTATGTTTTTTACCCCTATAAACTTTTATGGGCATATAATTCTGCCCTAACTTCCAGACAGCCAGGTAAGAGCAAAAAATTTTCTACATGTCTGAAATATCAGAATGAATTTGTTCACAAGTGTTTGATGGTGAATGGGCCAGGTGAAAGGGTGAAGAATCTTCATTTACCTAGCAAAGATGGAAAAAATATTTTGGAGGATGAAGTAATGAAAGCTGGACATTTATGAGTTTTTTTTTTTTTTTGTAACAACTAGAAATGCAGAAGTCCTTTCCTTCTCAGTTCAGTTGAGTTCAGTTCAGTTCAGTCACTCAGCCGTGTCCGACTCTTTGTGACCCCATGAATCGCAGCATGCCAGACCTCCCTGTCTGTCACCAGCTCCCGGAGTTTACTCAAACTCCTGTCCATCGAGTAGGTGATGCCATCCAGCCATCTCATCCTCTGTCATCCCCTTCTCCTCCTGCCCCCAATCCCTCCCAGCCTCAGGGTCTTTTCCAATGAGTCAACTCTTCACATGAGGTGGCCAAAGTATTGGAGTTTCAGCTTCAGCATCAGTCCTTCCAATGAACATCCAGGACTCATCTCCTTTAGGATGGACTGGTTGGATCTCCTTGCAGTCCAAGGGACTCTCAAGAGTCTTCTCCAACACCACAGTTCAAAAGCATCACTTTTTCAGCACTAAGCCTTCTTCACAGTCCAACTCTCACATCCATACATGACCACTGGAAAAACCATAGCCTTAACTAGATGGACCTTTGTTGGCAAAGTAATGTCTTTGGTTTTTAACATGCTATCTAGGTTGGTCATAACTTTCCTTCCAAGGAGTAAGGGTCTTTTAATTTCATGGCTGCAATCACCATCTGCAGTGATTTTGGAGCCCCCCAAAATAAAGTCTGACACTGTTTTCACTGTTTCCCCATCTATTTGCCATGAAGTGATGGGACCAAATGCCATGATCTTAGTTTTCTGAATGTTGAGCTTTAAGCCAACTATTTCACACTCCTCTTTCACTTTCATCAAGAGGCTTTTTAGTTCCTCTTCACTTTCTGCCATAAAGGTGGTGTCATCTGCATATCTGAGGTTATTGATATTTCTCCCAGAAATCTTGATTCCAGTTTGTGCTTCATCCAGCCCAGCGTTTCTCATGATGTACTCTGCGTATAAGTTAAATAAGCAGGGTGACAATATACAGCCTTGACGTACTCCTTTTCCTATTTGGAACCAGTCTGTTGTTCCATGTCCAGCTCTAACTGTTGCTTCCTGACCTACATATAGGTTTCTCAAGCTAGTTCACCTAAAAATATGTTAGTTGGAGTTACAGAGACATAGAGCTGAAAGAATGAGAGATTTTTTAAAACATGTTTTGCCAGTGATGGCAAAGGTGAGAGACAGGTGATTCTAGACATCAAGTGGTCTGAATCAGGAGAAGGTTCTAAGGAGAGAGATCATAGGAAGTAAATATATATGCTCCTTTCCTTACTGAAAGGAAGTAGAAATTCAAGAAGAAGGGAAGATGCAGAAGTAGGGGACCCTCAGGGAACTCTGAGATCTAATGCTCGCTCATAAATGATGCTTGCTGCTTTTGCTTTTTCCATTGAATCTTCTAGTAGTAAGAAACAGACCTCTATATTTCTGAAGTTTTTTCTTGCCTAAGAAGGTAAGAGGATTTATTACATGGGTTGGAGGAGGGGCAAAGAAAGAAGAAATATTTGAAAAGCTGTAGATAATGAAGAATAAATTTTAGTGAAAGAAGGTGTAAGTAAAGTACATGAAGTGAGGTGAAATGAAGTCGCTCAGTCATGTCCGACTCTTTGTGACCCCCTGGACTGCAGCCCACCAGGCTCCTTCATCCATGGGATCTTCCAGGCAAGGGCACTGGAGTGGGCAAAGTATATAGAGAAAACAAAATTATGGATAATGAATAAAATAGAAGTAATTCTTATGAATACAGTACTCTTAGAGGCTTAGAGGAAGAAAACAAATAATCTGATTCAAGCTGGAATGTCATTCCACAATTTTATCCCTCTTTTTAAATCACAGAGAAGCTTCTATGTTCTTCCAGACACTTTCCCAGGTTAGTGTATGAAGAAACAAGTTATATGCCTCTATTGAGTCTTTGAACACATTGCCTCTATCAGGGTTATTGAAACCTTAGGTTTATGATTGATTTTTTACTTCTTTTTATTTCTTACTACATGGAGAGGTCTCTATGTTTTCACATATGGATTAATGGAGTAAGCATTTCAGAGGACCTCTCGATACATACTTATTCTATTCTTCTATCATTATTTATTTGGTCATAAATTAAATTAAGAAAAAAATTGAATGAGTAGATAAGCAAATGAATATTTGTTTTCATACCAGAAGGATTTAATCCCAAACAAGCGAACAAAAGAGATGCATATTTAGAAGAGGAGCAGAGGTTTTGTCCATGCTGTCCTTGTAACTCTTTTGTATATTCTGAAGGCACAGGAGATGATCCTTCCAGATAGTCTTATAGTGGACAAATCCTTTCTACTTTCTGGACTCCAGAATCTTCATTTGAGTAATAAGAAAATTGAGGACGTGGTTTCCAAGAGGTTACCTCATTGTGATTCTAAAATCTCTATAAGCAAACTTGCTAAGGAAGATGATTTTAGTAGCAATTTGTATTGCTGGAATGACTGACACCTTGAGGTGCCCAGAAAGAGGGCTGAAGGTCTAAATTCAGTGCCAGGAAGAGTAAGGAGAGGTATGGCTATCATCATTCAAGCCTCACCCTGTGGAACCACAACTTGGCCTGAGCCAATCTGCTCACAGAAGCAGGGAGGGCAGGAGGCAGGGCTGGGCATAAAAGGAAGAGCTGGGCCAGCTGCTGCTTACACTTGCTTCTGACACAATCGTGTTCACTAGCAACTAGACAAACAGACACCATGCTGACTTCTGAGGAGAAGGCTGCCGTCACTGGCTTCTGGGGCAAGGTGAAAGTGGATGAAGTTGGTGCTGAGGCCCTGGGCAGGTAGGTATCCTGCTTACAAGACAAGTTTAAGGAGAGTGAATGGCACCTGGGTGCGTGAGAACAGAGCCTTCCCCTGAGATTCTGAAAGCTGCTGAGTTCCTCTGACCTTGTGCCCTTTTCACCCCTTAGGCTGCTGGTTGTCTACCCCTGGACTCAGAGGTTCTTTGAGCACTTTGGGGACTTGTCCTCTGCTGATGCTATTATGCACAATGATAAGGTGGTAGCCCATGGCAAGAGGGTGCTAGATGCCTTTAGTGATGGCCTGAAGCACCTCGACGACCTCAAGGGTGCCTTTGCTAAGCTGAGTGAGCTGCACTGTGATAAGCTGCACGTGGATCCTGAGAACTTCAGGGTGAGTTTGTGGAATCCTCAGTGCTCTCCTTCTTTTTATGGTGAAGCTCGTGTCATGGGGAGAAGTCTGAATCTCAGGACACAGTTTAGGATGGAGAAGATGTATTCTGGTTAGAGTGCTAAGGACTCCTCAGAACCGTTTAGACTCTTTTAACATCTTTGCTCAGCCTCCATTTCCTCTGATTCATTCTTGTTCTCTGTTGTCTGTAATGTCTTCTCTTTTTGCTTATACTTTTTATTTTGAGGGTTTAATTTGAAAAAAAAATTTCTTCTTTTATCAACTTTAAAAATGGTATCTAATATTTTCCCCTTATCTGTTTCTTTCAAGGGATAAAAGCTTGTATTGCTTTTTGAAATGATTCAAAATAATAAAAATGATAACAAGTTCTGAATTAAGATAGCAAGAGAGAAACATTTCTAAATATAAATTCAGGAAGATATGGGTAGCTTCATATCCATAGTAACATCTTCACTTTAGTCATCTTTGTGCTTATATCCTACGGTCACAACTTGGGATGAGACTGAAATACCCTGAATCTAACCTTGAGCTTCCCTCATAGTTCACTTGGCAAAGAGTCTGCCTGCAATGCAAGAGATCCCAGTTCAATTCCTGGGTCGGGAAGAATGGCTGGAAAAGGGATAGGCTACCTACTCCAGTATTCTTGGGCTTCCCTTGTGCTCAGCTGGTAAAGAATCTGCCTGCAGTGCAGGAGACCTGGGTTCAATCCCTGGGTTGGGAAGATCCGCTGGAGAAGGGAAAGGCTACCCACTCCAGTATTCTGGCCTGGAGAAAGCGAAGGGGGTTGCAAAGAGTCAGACATGACTGAGCGACTTTCACTTCACTCACCGGCACTAACCTTGCCCTTGCTCAATGTCTTTTCCACACAGCTCCTGGGCAACGTGCTGGTGGTTGTGCTGGCTCGCCACTTTGGCAAGGATTTCACCCCGGTGCTGCAGGCTGACTTTCAGAAGGTGGTGACTGGTGTTGCCAATGCCCTGGCCCACAGATATCACTAAGCTCCCCTTCCTGATTTCCAGGAAATGTTTTTTCATCCTCAGAGCCCAAAAATTGAATATGGAAAAATTATGAAGCATTTTGAGCATCTGGCCTTTGCCTAATAAAGACATTTATTTTCATTGCACTGGAGTATTTAAATTATTTCATGATCTCTTACTCAGACAGCACATGCAAGGACAAAGCTCTGAAGACATAAAGAAATGAAGGGCTAAGTTGAGAACTTTGTCCAGTATCAGTATATTGGACCCCATGACAGGAGTGGTTGTAAATAGCTGATGTTATTGGAAAACAGGCTCTGATCCTTAGTCTTACTCTCCCTTAAAGAATTCAAGTTGCAGCTTGATTTGGGAGTTAGATCATTGGTATGTTTTATTTATATAAATTATGCTATTTAGTCTTTCTTGTAAATGTCTTTTGTCTCTTTAATTATCCAGAACATCACTTAGATCCATTAAGATCTTCTGCCTAATGACACCACTGTTTTAAGATTTTCTTTATACATTTTACTGTCCCCATTGCTCTTCCTCCCCTGATCTCTTTTTATCCTAGTTTCCTCTATCATCTTATGAAGAGCTACAAGAAGGACAGAACCTTCTGTCCTGGATTCTGGGAATGACATATGAATTTTGGGTAATCTTTGTTCCCTTTGCATCCTAGTTCTGAATCTCAGTTCAGTTCATTTCAGTGGCTTGGTTGTGTACGATTCTTTGCGATCCCATGGAATTCAGCATGCCAGTCTTCCCTATCCATCACCAACTCCTGGAACTTGCTTAAATTCATGTCCATCGAGTTGGTGATGCCATTCAACCATTTCATCCTCTGTCATCCCTTTCTCCTGCCTTCAATCTTTCCCAGCACCAGGGTCTTTTCAAATGAGTCAGTTCTTCATATCAGGTAGCCTAAGTATTGAAGCTTCAGCTTCAGCATCAGTCCTTCCAATGAATGTTCAGGACTGATATCCTTCAGGTTTGACTGGTTTAATGTTCTTGCATTCCAAGGGACTCTCGAGAGTCTTCTCCAACATCACAGTTCAATAGCATCAATTCTTTGGCAGTCAGCTTTCTTTATGATCCAACTTTGACATACATACATGACTACTGGAAAAATCATAGCTTTTACTAGATGGACTTTTGTTGGCCAAGCAATGTCTCTGCTTTTTAATAAGCTGTCTAGGTTTGTCATAGTTTTTCTTCCAAGGAGAAAGTGTCTTTTAATTTCTTGGCTGCAGTCACCATCTGCAGTGACTTTGGAGCCCAGGAAAATAAAGTCTGTCACTATTTCCATTGCTTCTCCATCTCTTTGCAATCAAGTGATGGGACCGGATGCCATGGTCTTTGTTTTTTGAATGTTGAGTTTTAAGCCAAATTTTTCATTCTCTTCTTTCATTTTCATGAAGAGGATCTATAGTTCCTCTTTGCTTTCTACCATAAGGCGGGTGTCATCTGCATATATGAGGTTATTGCTCTTTCTCCCAGCAATCTTGATTCCAGCTTGTGCTTCATCTAGCACTGTATTTCTCATGATGTACTCTGTGTAGACGTTAAATAAGCAAGGTGATAATACACAGCTTTGACATTCCTTTCCCAGTTCTGAATCTAGTTGGGGAGATTCTGAAAGTAACACATCTAACAAGTGACTCTAAATGAGTGTGTTTAAGGTTTTTATGAGATCAGATGATGAAGCCCTTGGTATGAAATGGGTGGTAAATATAAGTAGTGTAGACAATTGTCCAAAAGACAAGAAGACAAAAGTCAGAAAAGAAAAGGAGGATAGCACAGGCCAAATCACTGATGAATAATGTGTTTGTGTGTTCTGAGAATTTCAGGTAGACAGGAAAGATAACTGAAGCAAAACTGCCTGGGATAGAATAGAATGGATAATATATTTTGGTGTACATTCTGGACGCATTCTTAAAGTTGAAAATTTACAAACAAGAAGATACCATCTAGACATTACTCATGAGATGTTTGCACTGCTAATCGACAAATAAAGTAGGGTGGTTTAACAGTTTAGAACATCATTTTGAAACCAGACTGCCAGGACTGAAAAAAAATTACACTCTGACCTTGTGAAAAATCAGTTACCCTTGTCAATTTGGTACATAATGTCTTCTTTAAATGTTGCAGGAAAATGAAAAAAAAAAAAAAAAGTCTCAACACAATTCCCTGGCGAGAATTTACAAAGAGTAAGTTGACTCATTTAACAACTCTTCCTAAATGCAAAAGATCTCAGGCTGAGATGGCAATATTGAAGAGTAAGGAATTTTGGAGTCTTTTTTTTTAATGGCTCGTAATAATAAGGCAACATGCTAGCAGCATCCATGTTTAAAAGCAAGTTGAATTGCTATGCATGTCTGGAATCAACAAGTTAAAGAAAAGTCTCTCATTTTTAAGTTAAAGGTTTTAGGGGGGTCAAATCAGAGATGAAATTGTACTTTTCATTGTAGTGTGTGTTGTCTTCTCATCGCAGTGTCTTCTCTTGTTGGTGGAGCACATGCTCTTGGGGGCATGGGCTTCAGTAGTAAAAGTGTGTGGGCTTCAATAGTTGTGTTGCAGGCTCAGTAGCTGTGGAGCACTGGCTTAGTTACTTTACAGCATGTAGAATATTCCCAGACCAGGGATCAAACCCATGTCCCCTTCATTGGCAGACAAATTTTATCCACTGCACCATGAGGCAAGTACTAGGTCTCACTTTTTTAAGATTCCACATAGTGTACATCCTTTTTGCAGGGTTCTGTGGTTATGGACTGAGATGTAAGGAAGAAAGAAGGAGGCATGAAACAGGAAAAGGAAAACACCATTTTAGGACACCCCTAACATCTGCTGACAAAGGTCCTGTAACATGCTGGACAGATCTGACTGGATATGATACCAGGGAGTGCTGGACTTAAGGAACATCTCAGGCCCATCTTGGCACTACTGCTCTCACGGGAAAATGTCCTATATTCTAGGCCTCTGATCAGGACCCAAGAGGTGCTGTCATTCTCCGTGTCACTTTGGCTAAAATTTGGATGTGTGAACATGCTCCAGAGATATTTTCTGATTTTCCTACCTATGCATCCACCATCTTCATTTTCTTTTATTTAATAATGTTGGCTGCCCTAGCCCTTCATTGCTGCATGTGGGTTTTCTCTAGTAGTGGCAAGCAAGGGCTACTTTCCAGTTGTGGTGCTTAGACTTCTCACTTGATTTCTCTTGCTGTGGAGCACAGACTCTAGGGTACATTGACTTCAGCAGCTGCGGTGCATAGGCTCAGCAGTTGTGGCCCACAGGTTTAATTGTTCAGTGGCATGGAATCTTTTCAGGGATAAAACTTATCAGGGATTAAACCTGTACCCCTTACATTGGCAGATGCTTTCTTAACCACAGGACCACCAGGGAAGTACCACTATCCTCATTTAAAAGCAAGAAATCTGAGGCTGTTAGTGCGATGAACAAAGGAATTGACAAAACTCAACATAAAGACTCTCCTTGTCCAGCTTTCACATCCTCCCACACAGATACTCGTTTTCAGAAATTAGCACATACAAGAGCATGTGCATGCATGCACACTCTTCCCAATATGGCAGTCAAAGCACACTGGGAAAAATGCAAATTGCGTATGGTAATCTCTTTGTCCAAAGTTCTCTGGTATTTTCCTGCATCACTCATAATAAAGCCAAATTTCATGCAATAATAATTGCTAATATTTATATTGGCACCTACAGACTTTCTCTGCAGCTCAGTGGTAAAGGATTCACCTATAATGCAGAAGTCACAGGAGAGTCGGGTTCAATCCCTGGGTCAGGAAGATCGCCTGGAGGAGGATGGCTACTCACTCCAGTATTCTTGCCTGGAGAATCCCATGGACAGAGGAGCCTGGCGAGCTACAGTCCATGGGGTCATAGAGTAGGATGAGACTGAAGTGACTTAGCATGCTTGCCTGCATGCTCGTTCGCACTTACGCATTTAAAAGGACTTCCCTGATGGCACTAGTGGTGAAGAACACACCTGCCAATAGCGGAGACATAGGTTCAGTCCTTGGGTTGGGAAGATCCCCAGGAGGAGGGCATGGCAACCCAGTCCAGTATTCTTGTCTGGAGAATTCCATGGACAGAGGAGCTTGGCAGGCTATAGTCAGATTGCAAAGAATCAGACAGGACTGAAGGAACTTAGCATGCATGAACACATACATAAGCACCCATCACTACATACATACAAAAACATCAGTGGAGCAATGCCAAAAGAAGTAATGCCAATCAGCTCTATTTAGACCTCAGCAAACAGGGCTTTGATCAAATTATTTAGTTTCAGAATGTGGCCCATTTATTTGCAGGTTGAGATTGACTCTTGAAGACTTATTTTGGTTAAAATAAAAGGCACACAAGCCTAAAAATAGAAATCAATGTATTTATTTATTAATTTACATTGGGATTTATAACTTGAATTTTCATGCCTTTGTGAGTAATACATGCTTTCCTTATATCAATCAAGTGAAAGTAGAGGAAGCAAACTTACAAGGCAGGTAGTTGGATTCAATCATGCCAAGGAGACATCTTGACAGTAAGTTCAGACATGGCTTATTCATCTTCTTCATGGGAAAGATAGATATGGCCTAACACAAATATTATGTGATGTTCAACATCTTTAGATTCTAAGCCAACATAGCAACCTTCTTTTTCCTATACTCCCCTTGTTGTTCAGTTCTCTAATGAGTAACACACTTTTTACACATTGGAACATTCCAAAGATTATAATTAAGAGTTTCTGGTCTGGGAAGCATTCTTTTCCTTTCGGGTGATGTTGTGTCTGTTTTTTGTATTTAAATTAGTTTTCATAACTTTTTACACTGAGTTTATTTTTAATTGCAATTAAAATTAGAGTGAAATTTGTTCCTCTGGCTTTCAAGGTATTGCATGTTATCTAGTCACTGTAGCCTTCAAACTTTGACAGTACTCACATATTTATAAACACACACACACACATATATTTTACACAGGGCATATTGACCAGGCATTTCT